CCTGTCCTCCTGCACCAAGGAATGTTTTCCTCCTCTTTTGCTAGGGCTCCATGTCTGTTTTTCAGGCAAACTGCTGCAGGTGGAGATGAAGATTTCTGCTTGCTGTCAGAGGTCACAAGCTTCCAGTTTCCATCTTTCTGGGAGTCCATGTACTCTCCCCTTCTCTAGCGCTGCCTTTGGCAGTCCTTCCTCCACAGTCCTAGAGGTCTCCTTCAGCATCAAATCAATGAAGTCCTCATGGTGGAGGATGCTTTGGAGCTTTGCCACCTCCTCCTGTAGCTCCTTTGCCTGCTCCCTGAGGGACACCATGAGGAGGCACCATTCACATTGCATGCACTCTGCACCTGGATATCACTGGAAGGAAACTGCAAGCTGCAGTCTCCACAGCACCAAACCAGGACCTCAGTGGAAGCCTTGACAATGAGTGGTCCTGCCTGGACAGACCTCACAGGTGCAAGCAGAGGCAATGACTTTCTTCTTCAAAAGTTTGTCTGACTTCATCCTGACTATACAGATGGTCCAATAAAAGATATCACCCCCAAAAATCCTTGCCTCTTGCATCTTGTTTTAGAGACATTCCCATTCACAATAGCATCTAGTGTATGTTTAGGAAAAACTAGTGAGGGAATGACACTGATCTCTTCAATTAAAATTCTTATACACAAAATAAGATTCCACTTTACAGCTGAAGTTGCTTAAAGTCATTATCTAGCAGCCTTAAAAATCCAGGAGATGACCAACAACACTAATATTTGCATGCACAGCAGCCTCTATTGATATACCCCACCAGTGAAATATCATAAATCTTAACATCCATTCATACTCGTTATTACCACAAACACTTCCAATGCAGTTACAAAGTACAATCTACCACCAGTCCAGTTCCTCACAGTGATAGTCAACTGCATACCCTGCTCACTGACAGATACAGATAAATTGCCCCAAGCAGAGACATAGCAGCAAAATCTACAATTTGTGACTCATTCATTAAATAGTACAGGGTTATTGGTAACACTGGAATTAACTTGAATAAGAGGAACAAATTAGAGGGCTATTAGAGAGCAGTACAGGAGGACAAGGGCTCTGGGCAGGTGTATGAGACATGGCCTTCAGTAGCAGGACTTTTGAAGAAGTACTGGCAGGAAAACAGATGGATGGAGGAAAAACAGGCATTTGGCTAGTGCAGTGATTCTCAAACGGGGCCCCGTGGCACCCTGGGGATCTTTAAGACCTTTTTAGAGGTCTGCTACCATGTGGAGCTGTCCCAGTGCTTGTTTTCAGGAGATGCTATTTGGGGAAGCAGTTCCTGTAGAAGGGGTTGCTCTGCTGTATCCTGGCCTGAAGGGAGGTCCATTGACATAATTAGAGGGAGCAAGGGAGGGCACAAGCCCCAGATGGAAACTTAGAGGGGCACCCCCAAGTCCTCTCCACTTGCTTGTGCCCTGGTTCAATACTTCCCAAGCCCAGTGGAAAGTCCTGTACTCTCCTAGATGTCCCCTCTGCCTACTCCATGCAGCTTGCCAGGGTAAGCAATGAGTGCAGTAGGGGTGTAAGAGCAGCCATTAGTATAGGTCAGGGAGCGCTGGGGAGGAAATGTGCATCTGAGTGTTGCAACTTGAGGGACCCAGTGCAGATGTGAGAACGCCCACCACATTTGAGAAACACTGGCCTAGGGTGCAAACCTTATTCATTACATGCATGTATTGTAGTAGTTGCCACGCCTGCCCCTGCTGGGCTCAGCTGAGGTAAAGCAGCACTGCTATAGACTCCTGTGCCAATTCTCCCAGCTAGGTATTGAGCTCCTAACCTTCTCTCAGCATGCTGGGTGAGATGTGCCCTGAGATGCCAGCTGAACACATGTTCCTGCAGTTCAGAGCTGAACAAAATATAGCAGAGAGAGTCTCCTTTATGCAAGTGACAACAGGCTCAGCTGCCTTTTCTACCTCTTCTTCCAGTCATCCACATCTCCACTGGTTGTGTCTGACCCCTTTCAGCTATGCAGTTAGTGGCTGTAGGGTCAATGGAGCACTAGGTAATACTGTTCTATTGCACAGAAGTTGAGATGTCTATGCAACTGGAGATTTTGTCCCTTGCTGCTTCTCCCAATGAGGTCAACAAGTTGGAAACTTTGGGCCCTTGTCTAAAGACCAAATTGAATAGGTTCTGGATTGTGCCCACTGCAAGTTTCATTGTCACTGAGTTTTCCTGCATGGTGTTGCTTATCCAACAACCTGTCTGGTCTCTGTGGATGTGGGGAGAGCAGTGGATGTGATATACCTTGACTTTAGCAAGGCTTCTGATGCAGTCTCTCACAGCATTCTCGTCAGCAAGCTAAAAGTCCAAGTTGGATGAATGGACGATCAGGTAGATAGAAAACTGGCTGGATCATCAGGCTCAAAGGCTAGTAACTCAGTGGCTCAATGTCTAGTTGGCTGCTGGTAGCAAATGGAGTGCCCCAGGGGTCAGTCCTGGGGCTGGTTTTTGTTCAATATCTTCGACGAGCTGAAAGATGGGATGGATTGCACCCTCAGCAAGTTTGCGGATGACACCAAGCTTGGGGGAGTAGTTGATATGCTGGAGGGTAGGGCTAGGATTCAGAGAGACCTAAACAAACTGGAGGATTGGGCCAAACCATGAAGTTTAATAAGGACAAGTGCAAAGTCCTGCACTTAGGATGGAACACTCCCATGCACTGGTACATGCTGGGGACTGCCTGGACAAGCAGCAGCTCTGCAGAAAAGAACCTGGGGGTTACAGTGGACAGTAAGCTGAATATAAGCCAGCAGTGTGCCCTTGCTGCCAAGGTGGCTAGTGGGATACTGGGCTGCCTTAGTAGGAGCACTGGCCACAGATTCTTCCCCTTTGTTCAGCACAGGTGTGGCCACATCTGGAGTCCTGTGTCCAGTTCTGGGGCCCCCACTACAGAAAGGATATGGACAAATCAGAGAGAGCCCAGTGGAGGGCAACAAAAATGGTGAGGGGGCTGAGGCACGACTTCTGAGGAGAGGTTGAGGGAACTGGGAGTATTTAGTCTGGAGAAGAGAAGACAGAGCGGGGATTTAATAACAGGCTTCAACTACCTGAACGGTGGTTCCAAAGAGGATGGAGCTAGACTGTTCTCAGTGGTGGCAGATGACAGAACAAGGAGCAACAGTCTCAAGTTGTAGCAAGGGAAGCTTAGGTTAGATATTAGGCACAACTTTCTCACTAGGAAGGTAGTAAAGCTCTGGAACAGGCTACCCAGAGAGGTTGTAGAGTCTTCATTCTTAGAGGTTTTTAAGGTCTGGGTTAACAAAGCCTTGGCTGGGATGAGATCACTGGGGCTGGTCCTGCTTTGAGCAGTGGGTTGAACTAGATGACCTCCTGAGGTCCCTTCCAAACCTAATTTTCTATGATTCAGGACAGTATATTCTATCCTGTGCAAGCTAATCCTGCTTTGCACAGCTAATGTTGCTCTGAGGAAGGAATATAAAGTATATATTTTTATATACAAAGTATATATTTTTGCTTGAAAAAGTGAAGTGTGCATATTTTAGCTTTATAATCTTGACACAATATAAACATCCTCATCTCAGTATCCGAGCAGCAGCTCTTTCCTGTTATGACCTGTCCTGTCTCACCAATGAAGCATACTGTGAATCATTTCCCTGGAACACGCTGAACTGGCTTAAACTTCCATTTAACCAAAAGGATTTGTTGAGACAAAGTCAAGGGGAATTTCATAATGCAAAGGAATGCACTGCAGGCAATATTAATTCAGTGCAAACAAAAAGAAACAACAGAAAGAAACTCTGGAAAAGAATTTGGGAAGGTGCTTGTTTAAGTAACAAAGATACAGTTGAAGGTAATTAATTAATTACTGGGGATTTTTCAGAATAAATCATGCGATAGATACCATAGATGTTATGGCTGGAAGAGACCTCATGAGATCATTGGGTTAAAGGAAAGTATCAGACAAATATCAAGACTTATAAGCTAAAGAATTGCTTCAGGCTAAATTTAACACTTACTTCGTTTCTGGGACTACTCCTGTTTTAAAATAGGGAATCTGCAAGAAGAATGTGCCCCGGCTTATCTTCTATACAACTGCAAATTTCTAATTTAACTAAATACCCCTTTTTCCTGGCCCTGTTTACTATTGATTACCCATATAACTGTAATTTAAGATTAGTTGAGATTTACTGGTGTAAATAATAGGTAGGCACTACTACTATTTTGTTTGCAAAGCAAGCAAAAAGAATTATTCAAGAATATTCTCTCTCTCTCGATTGTGGGCCAGCTTCTATGAATGCTAAGTCATGAATAATGTCAAGACTACTCAAGAGAGGATTATACTCTACACACGAGCAGGGAGCCTGCTTCGACGTGCTACAATTCCAGCGTGTTGGAGCAGACTTGATTAATCGAGCTTGCTAGAGTGTGGCAATTACCATGTTCCAACAGCCTCCTATGTTTCATGTATTAGCATCCCCATGCTTCAAAATGGCAGTGGGGGGTGCTTTATCTAAAGCTTGTTTGACAAGCTTCAGATAAAGTGCCCCTGCCACCATTTTGAAGCACATGACGCTGATACATGAGACGCTCTGGGCACTTTATTTAGAGGAGCTCTTGGAGCCACTCTAGTTAAAGCACCCACCTCCCCTACTCCTGGAGCACGTGTATAAACGCCCTATGTTTATAAGGCAAAGGCTTCAAGCCAGCAAACATTTACATTAATATAGGGGACCTGGGGGGCATGGACAACCAATGTCATGAGGGACAGGAGATATGGAATGAGAGCTTAATTTTATGGATCTACTCACCTATGTGTATAAGTGTCTGGTTTGGGGACTAAATGTATATACAACGCAAAATTAGGTAATATAATTTAATAAAAGAATTAAACTACCTATAGAAAGATCATTGTATAGCTATTAGGAAAATAACTATGCTATGTATTACACAGTCTGGAGATTATTCCTTTTCCACATTAATTTCAAAAGTATTAATGCTTTACTTACAATACATATTCCAGAACCATCCTGGCATCTATTGGAATTTCCATTGCAATTGCAGGGAACACAGCGTCCGGTAAATAATCCTTTATTCTCACGATAAAATCTAGAACTACATTCCTAATAAGTATATGCAGAGCAAAAACAAACAAACAAACAAAAAAAGCACATCTGTAAGTAAAAACGAGGGGAAGAAGGATTCTACATGTTCTAGGAATCTGTATTTTTCTGTTTGCCTCACTCAAGAAAAATCTAGTGACAAATGTTTTCAGAGAAACTTTTAAAGCCAACTGTTAGTTTCTTATGAATGAATGCTTTATCTTATACAATGACAATTTTAAAAGGAGACTTGATTGGCTGAAAGAGGTTCCAGATGTGCATTAGCTCATGGTCAAACATTTTATAAAAATAATACAGTTTAAAGATGTAATTGTCTCTCTCAGATTCTGGGAACTCGGTATAGCAAGATCCAGTTTTTTGTTTCTAGGAAGATCTGTTGACCAAACCATAAAATCATGCGCTGGGGAGAGGGAAATGGCGATTACAAGAGCCTATGCTTTGCTGATGATCTTGGCTCTGACCCTGCACAACCCTGTGCATGTGCTTGACATGAATGATGGGAACACTCCTGTTAATCTCAATAGGATTGCTCACTACTTTTCTCACAAACCAAATTAAACCTTAAGAAGGTTTTAATGTAGAATGACACTAGAGCATTCTTAAAGGGCTACATACAAAAGCCTCATATATTACTTAATGGTTATATAAAAACAATTATGAAGTTAACAACAGCATGTTCTTTAAAAACACTTTAGAGGATTTCAGAAGTGCTGCATCTGAAGCTATATGAAACTATGTTTAAACAGAGACAAGCTTATAAAATATATAGCAGTCTGATTTTTAAGTACAGGCTTGTCCTAGACAACTATAAAGTATGTAAAGTATGGTCAACAATTGAAAGGATATGAACAGAAATACTGTGCATCAGCTCAAAGTCAAGTTGAAATAAGAAAAAAGACTAGGGAGCTGAAGTAAGGTAACTTGATGAAAAGGAAATAATAGATACAATTGTCAGTAACATTAGCTTATACCAATTAGGGGCTAACAAATATGCTAAGACTAGATTCAGAAACAGGGAGGGCACAAAGAACTTTCCTCAACTTTGCTTTCCTTAAGTAAAATAACTCCTAAAGTTGCCCCATATGTTCCATACTTCCCTCCATACACCTTTGCCTAACAGGCAGAACCTGGCCCCAAACACCTTTAATAAATAAGCAACATATGAACTACAAATCATGTACTTAATTGCTCAGGTCAGGAGTGCCACTGAGATCAACAGAACCAAATCACAGGAGTGAGGGTTTATAGAACAGGGCTGTCAACTGTGCTTAGTTTAGTTTAGCCATGAGTATTTAGTGCAGGTTTCTATATGTGGATTAGGAAAACTAAGTGGCGTATTTATTACACAATCATCTGGCAGAGGTAAACCACAATCCTGCAATATTAGCAGTTACAATAGGATTCTAAAGGAATACCAGACAAAAAAAACAACTGATGATACTTAAACAATGACGTTTGCAAAAATAAACCTTGCTTTTTGCAATATATGGGATTAATGAAACAAATGTACACAGGGACTGATCTTGCACCAGTGATGCCAAAAAAGAGTTCTAATACTGACTTCAGTGGGAGCATGGATTGCATTTATAATTTGTATCACTGCTTGACATTTTTCAGATACATTTTAATAAGCATTAAAATCTTTTCCTCCTGGACACACAATCTCCATTACAGTTCAACAGGCAATCACTCCACATACCTGCTGAAAGACTAGTCCCATTAATATTTTAAATAGCTCAACTAAGGATTATTTATCACAAATATTTTCACAGGCAAAGCAAAAAATTAATAAACTTGCTTTGCCATGTATTCACACACATTTGAATAAATCTATGCAGTTCTTTATTTTACCAGTTTTAACTTTTTAAATTTAAAATTTGAAGCAACATCAACATACATACTGGACCACTCAAACACTTAAGGATAATAATCTTCATTTTGCAATATTTACCCTATATGAGCATAAAGCTCTTAAGCACTCAAAAGTGCACATAATCTCTAGCTGTTCATGTTTAGTGATAAGGAACATTTTGGAAGAAAGTTCTTCCAAATAACTATTAGCAGCAATGCAATTCAACAGATAAGGAGATTAGTATTCCTATTGCTTTACTTTAAAGTACTGCATAACATGGTATAAAATAAATCCATTTAAAAATAAAAGCAAAAAAACAAACAAAGAAATTAATAAAGAAAGAAAGAGGCCCTGAAATCAACAGGACAAATCACAGGAGTAAGAAAATATTACCTGTCTTGGTTTAAAATCCCAATGAATTTGTTGCTGTTGACCTCTCTCCTGAGGAAATGATAGCCTCTGTTGTGTACCTTGTCCCAAACAATGCCCCATGGCTACAAATGAGAAAATTAACCATGCTACTTTCTTCGGCCTCTGTGTTCTGGCTGTCATTTTGCTTGGTTCCCAATTTGACTGTTAACGTACAATTTTCTTTCACTATTCAATCCTCTCTCTTATACTCCTCTTTATTGTTCAGCTTCTGACTCAGAAAAGTGAGGCTGTGTGCTGTGAAGGGCCCCACCTTTAAACTTTATATGTGAGTCAGGTTGTACAGCACACATAACAGTTCCTGAGGTTAACAAACAACTCTGTAATTCCTGTACATGAGTGAATATCTAACTTTAGGCATGGCAGGAATCACCTTCTCCACACCTAACAAAGCCAGACAGAGCTAGACAATTACAGCAGCATATCACAGACTGAGTAATGCTACAAAAACATGCAGGGTTTATGAGCTATGCAAGTCAGTGGTATGACTGATTCCTTTGGGCTATATTTTTTCATCAGTGCAGGAAAAACAGACAGCACATAAAGGCACCACATTGCAGGTGCTACGGCAGGAGAGGGAGAATTCAAGTCTAAATTAATCAGTTTAATGTGTGGCACAGAACACCAAATGTATGAAAAATACATTTCTGAAAATATTTTTAAAATGATATTCATATATAAAATGTCATGACAGAAGGCCAGGGGAAAAAAAGAAGCACCTAGACCAAATCAGAAATGCAGTTGCTCTGGCTTATTTGCTATTCGACCATTCACATTTTAAGATGTATTTGATATGGCTAATACAGGAATTGTTTCCTTACAGTAACTCTAAAGCCTGTTCTTAAAGTAACAAATTCCTCAGATTCTGTGGAATCTGTTCTTTGTTTCTCTCTCCCATATTTCCCTTTGCTGTTTCAAATGATTGTGTGTGCAGAATCAAGCTACAAACTAAGCAAAATGACACCCAGACAAAGGCACTAGAAAGTAGGATGGTTCACTGTCACACTAATGGCTCTACCCCCAGCCCACAGACCAGATACAACCCCTGTCACCATGTCACACAGCCCACCTGGCTTCCCACGGGTCCAAAAATTTGGAGGTGGTGAAGCAGTGGCAGCATTAATTGACACTTCCATGCTACAAAATTTCCTGCTCTGTGGGAAGGACTGTGGGCTGTATAGCATAGCCCTATGCACTAGATCAGGTGCACAGGGCAGCATGGGGCCAATCTGGATGTGCAAAACTGATCCAAATGCACAGGGTGGAATGAGGCCCAATTCCGGTGCATGAGGCTGGGCTGAGTCAGCATGGGGCTTGATTTGGGTGTACAGGGCCAGGTGAAGGCAGTACAAGGCCCAATTCAGATATGCAGGGCTGGTGAGCATGGTGCAGGTCCTGATCGGGGCATGCAGAGCCAGGCAGGGGCACTGCAGAGCCCAGTCTGGCCCATGGACTGGCTCTGTGCCACTCCTCCTGCCTGTGGAACCAAAAGCTTGAGCACCACTGCCATAGGGCATTTTTTGGGATACAAAATGCGATCAGAAAGAAGCATTTCCTCATTATCCAAGTAACAGTAATGCTTTACCTAGGCTTGTTCCTTAGCATTTGCACAGGAAGATCTCAAAGCAATTTTCAAATATTCACAAGAAAATGTCAATATCCCATTAGAAGGGAGCCACCTAACATGCTTCAGCCTGGAATGGCAAAATGTTGCCAACCCCTGATTCACAATGATCAGTTAACACATACCATGTAATTTTACCCAATAATTCTTGCACGGAGCCCAGAACTACTTCTATGACATAATTTAGAGAGGCACCAGTTTTTAATTCAGAGATTTCAACTGAGGGAGAACACTAACATCCTTAACTGAAATGTTCCAAAGGTTAATTTACTTGACTGTTAAAATGTACAAATTATTTCTAGCCTGAATGTTTAGCTCCCTTTACAATGTTCAGCTCATGTATTTACTAAATTAAAACTGAGTTCTGTTATCAGAAATATTCTGCATATGTAGGTGCCTACCAACTCTGGTAAAGGCAACTCAACCTCTCAAATAAACTACAGAGACTAAGCAGCTATAGCCTCTCACTATACATCACAGAGGGCAGGACTGTTCATATAGTACATGCACCATGCAGAGCAGCAATTAGGAGCACAAATTCCACAAAAAGGAATCAAAATGGACCTCTCCCTAGCTCAGAGTACAGAAAAAGATTTTACTTTTCATTACTATACATATACTTATCAGTAAAGTGTATTGCTAACAATTAGGCTTGTTCCTATAATTACATCAATGCAGCTCTGAGTAACATGCCAAGTATGATATAATGAAAAGGCAAAGAAAAATTTCCTACCTGACATGAGTCACCTACATACTCAGGGGGGCAGGAGCATGTCTCTACATTATATGCAATGCTTCCACTTCCTGTGCTGGTGGCTTCTTCCAGCCCAACCTCACCCAGAGTTAACCGCTGAGTCTCTGTGAAGTAAAGGCCTCTGATGTGTAAGCCATCTAGTCTAGACAGGACCATCATCAGTTCTTCTCTAGATACATGGTTATTGCTGCTTGCATGTCTGAAGTTTCCCTGTACATTAAAGATATAAGGTAAATATGGCCCTGGAATGAGTTCATCTCCAGTCAGCTTGCTGGAAATGGACACTTTGTAACAAAAAGATATGGTAAAAGGAAAAAAATCAGAGGGCACTTTTTTCTGCAAACCTAGGTGACTGGACAGAGAAGAATATATAGAAAGGAAGAGTGGGGAAAGGCATGAGGGAACACAGACAAGGGAGGTGAGAAATACTTGATACATCTTTTGTATATTTTATAGCAATTAAGATCATGTGTCAATTCCCTACCTGAATATAAGAGACCTAGGAGGGAAGCACACGATCAGCAAGAACATGCCTCCCCCATGCATGATGGAATGGTCAAGCACCAGTTCAAGGGGCAGAAATAGTTCTGGGGCATGAAGAATGGAAATGGAAAAATACTGCACAGCACAGAGCTGTTGATGTTGGCTGAGGCCTAGAAGGAAGTTGACCTGAGGAACCTAGGGATCAGTCTCAAGTGGAAAGAGCTGAAGAGCCAAACTCATCCAAATTCACTGAGGGGGTCACCAACCAGACCAAATAGGAATCCAAGGGGAGTTTTCCTCTAAAAGGAAAATATCCATGAAAGTTTCTGTTTCATAGATGCAGGCTTTCCTTAATGTTGAATCATTTGCAAGAGGAGCCTTTAATGGTCCCATACCATCACTAGTCAATGATGCAATTTGGCCTGAAGACTCTTTGGTGGGACTAGGATGCCTGGCTAAATCTGCAGAGCTGGTGGTTAGAAAAAAGGAATATTTGTATTTGTAAATGAAATATATTCAACCTGGAAACTGCTGAGAGACAATATGGTACCGTTTTATCCCATACGTTTTCACAGGTTGCTATTCAGAGTCGAGCCATATAAGTAGAACCACAGTTTTTCATAATAGTAATAATTCCTCATGCTTTCAAAAGACTCGTCTTTCCATTCAGTAACTTGCTCAAAAATCACATCAGAAGTCTGTACCAGAACCCAGATCTTCACAATTATGTCTGCAACCTTTAAATTTGTGTTCATTAAATGTATCAACTATTTTGTAAGTTCAACTATTTTGTAAACTCAGCTTCATTTGTGTAATTTCTTTATATATTGTGTCCTTATCTTTGCATTATACAAAAAAGTAAACAACACATGAAACAGAAAACAGATTATTAATGACAAATATGAAAGCAAAGCATTTCCTTCACATGTCTTACTTCGAGTAGCTGAACACGGCCATAATACTGTCGGTCAGGCAAAGGGTTGTTGGGATCCACATAAACTATTTTCATTTGCAGACCCTGTATAAGAGAAATGTTTTAACACTATTATTTGAATACTTTTAAGGTCACAGTGTTTAAATGCAGTGTCATTTGGGGAAGCAAATTTCTGGAATTTTGTTAAAGAAATGGGGCAGTCTGGGGTCTTGATAAGTATGGAAGTAAAACCAAAATATACCACAGAAGCAAGCATTATTAGCATTAAATTCTGATGCACAGATGGTGCATCTAAACAAGATGCTTTACTGAGCAAGCCTAATCTAATGCACAGTAAAGTGTCACCATCTACACATGCACAGCAATTACTGAGTATTAGATTAGTCTAGGGTGCCATTTACTTATACTGAAATAGGTACTAGAAAACGGTGTAGTAAACTAATGTACTATACTGCATGTGTAGACACTGACCTGGAGCAAATTGCTACATAGTAAATTCAGGCTCATCAACTGCATGTGTAGACATGCCCAGAAATATTGGTTATTATTAGATTTCCTCATGCAGTATATTTCTCAGCTAGAACACTAGAAGGCTGAATGCAAATTACTGAATGGCTGATAAGGCTGTCATCAGATTCCTATCACATTTAAGACAGCACCTTGATTTTGATTTGAACTTGATAGAATGGGAATTTCAAGAGAAAAAAAAAGATTCTTTTGCAAAATTTCAGCCACATTTGAACCTAAAAAAAGCTCCCTTCCAAGTTTTTGATTCAGGAAATAAAACCAAGGGCCACATTCAGACAAGTGGGAACATGTGTTTCCCCAGGGACAAGTAGCAGCGGCACACCTTGTGCCACTGCTTTTTGTCCCTGTGGAACACCCATGCCACATACACTCTGGTTCATAGCAGGTTATTCTGGGTGAGGTACGGAAGGCTGGGGCCAGCACAGTTGCTGGCCCCAGCAACCTTATCTGGGATCCTGGGGCCTCAGGGAGCTGCAGCTATGGTGCTCCTGCAGCAAGGAGCCTGGCTGACAGCCAGAGTATGGCTCCAGCTGGCCAGGCTCTGGTTCTGGGTGGTGCATGTTGGCACCATGTGTGCTGCCCCACTTTTTTGGTGTGGGTTTTTTTGACCCCAGTATCTCCCACAGTCAAACCCCCCTCCTCCCCAGTGCTGCAAGGTAGTAACGCAGGGAACGCCTGCATGCATGGTGTGTGGTGCAGCAGATGTGTCTGCAGCACCATGTACTGCACATCTGCACTTGTCTGGACGTGGCCAAGAAGTTCAGATATAGGGCTTAAGTTGAAAACCTCAGATTCTAATTTTGGCACATATGTAGTTAAATTCAAATCTGGTTAACTCTGACCCAAAGCCAGTAAAGTCTTAGCAATGCATTTAACTTTACATAAATGAAAAACCCTACTGCAATCAATGAGATTGATCCCATGTGTAAAATTAATCACACAAATAAATCTTTCCAGAACCAAATCTGTGCAGCAAAAGTGCAGGGCTGTAATTTATCTTTTTAATGGGTATAATTTTCTGGGGAAAGTCTGTTTTTATCTTGTTCTCAAGTCAGAAATGTGTAATAAGTTACTTTGGCAACAGAAATAGGTTGAGCAAAATGTAATAAAATAACTTTTGTAGAAATGCAGAACTGGGATGCTATAACTTTTAGCAAACTATTTTAAGGAACAATCTATGCTAAGAGTGTATTTTAGATCATTAGGGAATAAAGAAAGAATGAATATGATAATTACTGTTAGCTGTACATCAGGCCTTTTATCTAGAAGAACCATCCCTTCACTAGGCAAGCCAAAAGATTTCACTTGATAACTCAGGTAGCCACCATATGAGGAAAGCTGTAACAACAAGTTTAAGGTGATAAAGAGTTTATCTAAGCATTACTAAATACAGTGCATCCCCCTCCCCCTCCCCACAGTGCTGTAAATAATATATTCTTTCTTTGTTCCTTTCCCTTTAATGTGTGAACAGGTATTGCTTGAAAACAAAAACTGGAAAGAATAAGAAAATGATGGTCACTTTCAAGCTTACTGTGATAGTTGGTTTATATAATTCTTGTTCAAATGGCCTCCATCAAGTTGAAAATTGTGTCTTTATGTAAGGATTTTGTCCTCAAATTATTGGAGGATTTCCTTGAAATATGTCCCCCTCCCACTGGTGCATCAGGGAAAATAAATGTAGGGGAAGACGGGTAGGTGGCCCCCTTGCCCTCTGCCCCCCGCTGCAGCCCCTTCACTGCTCCTTACTGTCAGACCTTGCTCTCCCTGAGCATATGGAAATGGGAAGTAAATTTGAAAACACTGACAGATAAATTGATGCAAACTCCACAAACATACTTTTAAGCAGTACTTTTGTGCCTTCTTATAGAGTGTACAATCTATGCATGATATTAGTCCAACACCAAAAGACTCATGATTTACCATACAGTTCATTGGGCTGGGCCCCAGCAGTCAACAGAGTTCCAAGCCATGGTGACCCCATAGCTCAGCACTGCTCAGTATGTGCGTGTACTCTGGATACACCTCCCCCACCCCACAAAGGATTCATGTGTTAATTAGTTCCCCACTCATGATTGAAACTGGGTGTTCTGGTCATGAGTCCTGGGATCTTCCAAAAATGTATATGCCGATGGGGTGCAGGGCAACCTGGTCTAACTTCACTTCATGGAGGCAAGCCTTCACTAATCATATGCAACAGACTGAGAGGGGGCAACAGAGGGATTGTGGGTGAAACTGTTTAGGGCCCTGCCTGGTATCATTTGGCAGGCATTTAAGGCTGGTGAAGAAATTGGAATCACTGGAAAAGGGAAAGAAAGACACAGTTCAGCTGTGGGAATAAAAAGGAAGTTGAAATGTATTCAATATAGTGGCTCACAATGACTTGAAAAAGAGTTGGCACTGAGGGGGACTGCACTCAATGGGCACTATTATCTATCTTATTCATATGGGCTGCACTAATTTATCTATGTGGGAGATTTCCATAAATATGTTTGCCAAATTTGGACAGTGTATCTTATAGCCACAGTTAGTGTTGGCTGTATTTTAATCAACTTCATAGCTGGTTTCCATTATTGAGTATATGCTGCTTTTAGCAGCAATTTAAAAAATGACAGCGTATTTAATAAGGCTTCCTTGTATGTGATTGTAAGATGAGGAGCCTTTTCCCCTGTGCTGATGGGGAAAGAAAATCTCATCTTATATTCAAGTAAATATGATAAAATATGTGCTTGTGGCACTGCTCAAAACAAAGGCACTGGCAAGTCTACTCAGGACTTTGAATGATCTAAGCCAGGGGTTGTCAACTGGGGTATGTGTACCCCCAGGAGTATGTGAAAAGGGGCTAGGGAGTACGCGTGGGCAGGCATAGACGGAGCACCACCACCCACCACCCTGTGCCACCACCTCTGAGGAACAGAGCCGTGGGAGGGAGGGGGGGCAAGGGCAGTGGCTCCCCTCTGCAGGCTGTACAGGCACTGCCTGGCCAGCTGGATGCAAATGTGGGGAGCTCACACATGGTGGCCGTCACCACCATCCAGCACCCCACACTGCCACCACCATGTGCAAGCGCCCCCCCTGCTCTGTGTCTGGCTGCTGCCACACTCCCCACCCCACTGCTCCACCAGAAGGGGTACACTCTTTAAAAAAGGTTGAAACCCTGATCTAAGCAGAGAGCTTCTATGGGTATCATTTGAATAGGGTATTTGTGTGGGAGGGCAAGGGA